TCAACACACTACTCTCCACAATGGACACATCAGCAAGACAAAAAGTAAGCAAAGACACTAAAGCTCTGAACAAGGACCTGGAGATCATGGGTCTAACAGACATCTACAGAATACTGCACCCCAGAAAATCTGCATACACATTTTTCTCAAATCCACATGGATCATTCTTTAGGACTGACTACATACTGGGCCACAAGATAAACATCAAAAGATACACTAAGTTCGAAATCATACCAACAATTTTCTCTGACCAGGAAGGAATCAAACTAGAAATAAACCATATGAAGAAGGCAAGAAACCTGCCTACCACATGAAGACTGAAACCCACACTACTGGAAGACCGCTGGATCAATGAGGAGATAAAAGAAGAAATTACAAAATACTTGGAGAAGAATGACAATGACGACACAAGTCTCCAAAACGTACGGGACACGTTAAAAGCAGTTATAGGAGGAAAATATGTAGCAATACAAGCTTACATAAAGAAACAAGAAATAGCTCAAAGAAACAACCTAATGTTCTACCTTAAAGACCTAGAAAAAGAACAACAAAATAACCCAAAAGCCAGCAGAACACAAGAAATAATAAAAGTCAAATCAGAAATAAATGAAATGGAAGTTAGGAAAACAGTCCAAAAAAAATCAATGAAATCAAAAGTTGGTTCTTCTTAAAAATAAACAAGGTAGGCCCTCCCTGGTGGCGCAGCGGGTTGAAGCACAGCACTGAGAATCTAAAGCCACTTCCGCATGAGTTCAATTCCCGCCTGCCCCGGAGGTCACCACATGGTGTGGCAGACCTCTCCTGGCCCGCCCGCTGATCGCTTCAGCAGTGTACTTTGTCGATCTGCCTTACTCTGTCTCTGGTGAAGCCTCTCACTGCCCCTGAGTCCCTGGCCTGTACCCCAGTTCTGTATGCACAAATAAATAAATCGTTAAAAAAAAAAAAAGAAAAAAAAGAAAAAAGGAAACAAGGTAGACAGGTCACTAGCCAGGCTCAAAAAAAAAAAAAAAAGAGAAAGCACAAATAAACAGAATCATTAAGGAAAGAGGAGAAATCCAGCAGAAATCAAAAGAATAATAAGAGAATACTATGAACAACTATATGCAAACAAGTTCGACAATTTAGCAGAAATGGACAAATTCC